ATTGGCACGTCACTATTGTCAACCCAGAATTTACAAATAGAATACGTATTTATTATACTATAATAAAATATGGTGACGTATAATATATATATATATTGATTTTAACAACAATAGTGCTTTTTTTTTCGACAACACTATTTAAGTGGGGGCGGAAAAGGTCAAAAGTGAAAAGTGCTACTGATATTTTTTTATGATATATTATGGTGGACTGAATAATATTTAAACAACACTATAATACGTCAATTTCAATTCACTCGAATTACTTATTTTCTTTTTATATTTTTAATTTCTTTAAAAATTCATTCAACTGTTTGAGTAAATGCCATATTTGAACATATATACATGAGTATACGTCAGTTGTTATGGCAAAAGTTTGGCAATAAAAAGTATTTTGAGTTGTCATTTTCGCTCGAGTGAAGCTTTCACCAGGTACACGACTTAATACGATGTTTGCTAATGATTAAGATAATGGGTTACTCACAATAATATGGTTTTATAGTTATTTTTTATTATTATTAAGTTAATATTAAAAGACAAGACATTGTATAGTTAGCATGTTGGGCATTAATATAATCGTCTGACTTTTGAATATTATATAGGTCCTTAATACATGCACATCAATATAGTGTTAACACTATAAAATATAGGAGTGTCTATGCATGTATAAATAAATGTATAATATTTTAAATATAAGTGTACTGTGCACATGACGCATATAATGTCAACAATAATTCTGTTCAAACTTCAAACAATAATTAATATTTCATGTATAATTAGGCAGTAAATAAAATATCAACATCATACATTTTGTTCTATTCGAGATATCTGATGTCAACGCGTGCTCATTTCAGTTATAAAAATACTTAAATGTTTAAGAAATACTATACAAAAATATTTGAGTACTGTTAATTATTACGCACACTGTTGTACAGATACCTATCACAAAGTTGTGTACTTAAACATTTGAACAAAAAAACCATTACCAAACTATTCCTCTCAGCTGTGTTTACATTTTAATCTAAATGGCCAGCTGAAAAGTTTTTTTTTATTTACCACTGTAGTCTTAAATAATAATGACGTTTATTTGGACGAGTTCAGATACTGCATTAAACATGATATATTGACATTGTCACATTGAGCTTTTTATGTTATATTTTTAATATGTCTATTATAAAAATGTAATACTACGCAAGACGCACCATGAACTTATGAGTTATGATTTTATATGCTTAAACTTTTGATGAAATTGCAACATGTTTATTGTTTACATACAATTTATTAACAAAATAAAAATATTTATTTATTTACATGCACACAATAAAAAGGTATATTATAAATGTATAAATAAATACAATTGAAATAAGTTACCAGATCAATAGATCATACCAAAAATGAATATAAACTTTAATATTAAACATATTATATAGATATCTATATGTGTATTGTTTATATATTTTTTAAAACACTCTCTTTTCTATTTAATGATCGATTTTAATTTGGTTTTAGCTACCTGTATATAGTTATGCAGAACGTATATATTTTTTAAATAATAATTTTATATTTACATTTGATATAACTGAGTATTTGTTAACAAGATTATAAATACCTACAACAATACCAAAGGACTTTAATCTTTATTATACCAGGAAGTTGGGCGCTTCTGGCTTCGTGCATTATAAAGCTACGGTATTAAAGTATTGGTACAAAAGTAATAAATATGTATGTATATTGTATATTTAATCATTCTATAGGTATAACCGTATACTAGGTATATTTATAATAACACGATTTACAGAAACTTAATAATAAACTAATGTTTTCATCGTTTTAATAATATGATAATATATAGCGAATGCAGGTATATTACTAAATTTACTAAATTATAATATACTAAATTATTTGAGAAGGATAAAGTGTCTTATCTGATCATAAATAATACGTTTTATTATCTTTAGTGACAGGAAATAAATTGTTATTTTGTTAATAATTTCCGGGATCCTGATTCAGACATTTAGCTACCTAGGTATCCGAAAGTCCGCATTATTCCAACTCTCGAAATTATTTTTTTATACCAACTTGAATATTTAATCAAATTATGAACAAACTTTATAGTTTATATAATTCTTTGGTTAAAAACTTATTAAATTTGATGAATAAACAATAAGTAAAACAATTAAAATAGTTCAGTTAAATAATAATTCTGGTAAATAACAGACATTTAAAAACATTATTCACATATTATAGTAAATTATTATGAAGGATTTGAATTATTTATTTAGTTTATTCTTTAGAGTGTTCGAATAGTCGACAGGTAGTGCGGTTTTAATGAATTGATTATGCATGAGTGTATAATAGAGTTTACGGAAATATTTTATAATATTTTTTTCTTTCAATTAAATTTCCTCAGAAGAAAAGTATCTAACTGACTATCAGTATTTCTAACGTAACCAATGTGAACGGAAACCGATCAACAATTTTATATAATGACGCTAGTAGAAAGCTATAAAACTCTGTAAAGCGTCGACTACACTTCAATTTTATATGATATGAAACATTCGTGAAATTGAGTTTTCAGATTTATCAAATACACTGAGTACAAATTATAATAAAATCACTAAAATAATCCTTTTCGAAGTTGGTCGATCATAAAGTCATAACTACTATATGCAATTCGGACACTTGAAATACAAAATATGAAATTAAAGTTTGGTGTCGTTCAAACCAATTTTAGTTTGACAGTTTTACAACCATAATTGTAACTATACTAACAATAGTCAAACTTTATTTTTATTAAAATATTCTACATTTAATTAAAATGAATACTTTATTCCGCAGCAACGTGATTTTAATTGAGAGAAAACGATATATTTAAAGAGTCTAAAATATTGAGAAGTGATCAAAAGTTTTTGACGTGGTTAAATTGCTAACTTACTGAATGTGTAAAAAATGTTAATACCTACATTATTATTCAGAACTTAAAATGTATTTTATCAAATCATCCAGAGTATGAATTATATATGTGTATAGTAATCTATTTTAATGTTAAATACAGAGGACAGAGGTTATTTTGGTATGATCGCGATACGCCTAAGCCTGGATATTGTGTACGAAAATATTAAATTTCTATTGTTTAATGTATAATTAATTAGTCGATTAAATTATTTAAGTGTACCCACCCATCTATAAAATGGTTTGCATGAGCAGTCTAAAACCTCAACAACTATTAATTATTTATAACAAGCGTTGAGCTGAAATGCGGCAAACCAGTATATTATTACCTAAGTTTACAATATCCCCATTCCCCCATACCCTACACGTTTGCAATGTATCCGTTTATCTCTCACAACAGGTCATCGAAGCTCGAGTTTAATTTCAAACGTTGTGGCGGTTAATTAACACGAAAGCCGCCACCAACACCGTCATTGAATCCTCGTTCCGAGTTAATGTCCATTATTGAATTACAACATATTATTATTATACACCTAAACCAACAGGCGTTATTTCCGCAAGACCAAAATCATTACGAATATATTACACTACCTACCTATATAAGTGCAACTCATCTCTTCACATTCGGATTGGAACGGCGCTATTATCGTAAATGCAGCACAATCAGACAGATTGTCACTACAATAACTGATCTAAATTATGGTTTTTTCCGCTGCGCAATGTTCTCTTGTATTTTCTATAACGTCAAATCAATAATTTATGCAGGTACGAATTAGGTAGGATGCGCACCACGACAATTTGTGGCTTACGGTTACCTAATATTTAATATTATGATATCAGTATGACCGCAATTGCATATTTATAACTTGAACAACAAGATGACAAGATAATATTATAAGACATTCTAGTCCCCAGCAAGATGGATAAAATATGTATTTCCATAAATTATTTATTTCTGTCGGAACGAATTCAAAATAACCCGTCGCTTCTGCAATCGTATCATCGAGTACATATTGCATTATTTCGTCTTGGTTTCTGACGAAAAACCTTTTTGTTACTCAAGTATATTTTACGCTAAACGTATGTATGGGACCTCCACACGTGTAACCCCGCATAGCAGACCACATAATAATGAATTATTGAGTGTGGCGACGGAATTTACAAAATATGTCGTTGTACAGCGGTAGCAGGTTAAAGCTGTAAAATAAAATAATTAACAAACGAACGCGCAGTCATTGTGAAGTTCATCGGCTTATATTGAAGCGAGCGCCATTAATGGATTCTAACTTATGTCAATTTTGACTCGACACGTCGATAGACAAGCTGGTTATGTTATGACAATGGCGTCCGCATAGGTGCTCGTGCAGGTATACATTATTATATTATTGTCGTTCTGAACTAGAAATAGGAAATCGGACCGTAATTAAACGAAATCATTTCGCGACCGACGACAGTGCGTGACGGATGTGATTTCGGAGAGACTGCAATAATATATGATAGTGATAGGATTGGCGACACCCAGTACGCGTGTTATACACTTAAACACCCAATGCCTAATATACAAGTCACGAGGGGCGGATACCGCACATAAAAAAAAAATTACCTAATGTCAATATAATGCATTTGTGAGGGACGACTAACACATTAGGTGGAAAAATTATAAGTACTAAGTAAAGGGTATCGGTATTCACTTTAAAAGAATATATCAAAAACCGTTTGCAAAAACTTGCGTTTATCCTTATGCGTGTAATGCGTTTAATAAAAACATAATTTCTACAAGTGACAATATTATGCAGTAGTTAAACATTTAAAACAAATAGAAAATCATCATAATACATTTGGATGGTTAAAAGAAATCAAAAAAAAATAAAATATATCAATTGGTAGAAACTATAAAATAAGAAATTTATTTTTGATAAAAGTCTAGGTGCCCCCTAATATTATTATTTAAAATCAATTATCTCAAACTGTTTGAAAATGAACCCCGAATCAAATGGTCATTAGTTCCGTTACAAAGATTTATTAATATGAAATGTTTTGATTCATTTTAGGAGAACCATGCCACCCATATGAACCATTCAAATGTCCTGGAAACGGCGCTTGTATTTCTATCCAATATTTATGTGACGGAGCACCAGATTGTCCAGATGGTTATGATGAAGATGCCAGACTTTGCACTGCGGGTAACATAACTGCTTTATATTTACTTAATGTATATTTTTCAACAACCAAACACCGTTGTTTACATTTTTTTTTTCCAAGCACATTACAAAAGGTTGGTCTTAGATCATCTATTTATTAGATAGGTTTTTTTCTATCGTTTAATCTATTTAAACTACCTACTTTTAGAAACGTATATCGTATTATGTTATAGTATTTGTTGAAACAAAAATATTAACGTATTTCACAGAATTATGAACAATTCTGCAAAGTTTCTTAATCCTTTAATGGATAGTAATTATGTTAATAGAATCACGCCGCAAGTATTAACATGACAAAATAGTTTATGATAGGTACCTAATAAATAACTAAATTTAAATTCACTGTTACACCTGTTTTAGCACGATCTCTAATACACTACACAGTACACATGTTTGATATCTATACTTACTTAGGTAAAACTGGTTTTATTTTAAAATTAATTCAAGCAAAATTAACTTCTTATTTTAATGGGGTTAATAAAGGCTATGTTATAAGTACGTGCATGTGTAATATAATATATCGTGTTCAATGTCAACTAATTTACTAAAATGTCTACTATTCAGCAGTTATTATTTATGCTCATTTTACTACTTCTATTTTACTGTTCTCTAAACGAAAAAAAACCTTAATAAATAATAACAAGTTCCACTTTTAATATTGTTTTTTTTTTACTTTTGTTAAACTACATTTTATGTTTTGAAATTCGAACTAGTAGAGCAAAACTATTTTTATTATAAACTACAATTATAGAAATATTTTCTTTGTAACCATAATGCTTAAAAAGTTTAATAGTTTGTAAATTCTACTTAAGGATGTCTTATTAAAGTATGAATTACTGAGCAAGTGCTAACGTAGTTTAAGTTAATATTATGGTACCTAAACGAGTGTTTGAGAGAACTTTAATAACTGTAGAAATTTGACCGAATAAAGTAAATATTCTAAGTAAGCTCCAACAACTATCAGCAATATCTTGAAAATTTTTGGGTGAGTAGACATCCATTTAAAATTGTTTTTGAACACAAGATAAGAGATTTTTTTAATAATAATATATTTAATGATCAATGAAAATATAATTAAATACTTACTACGCAAATGCTATTTAATAATACAATAACTTTATGAAAAAAAAACAATTAATAAATCAATAATTTGTTAATTGGTTTAAAGAGGTATTTACATAATTAATGGTTTTTTTTCTATTAAAATTAATAAATTGCAACTTTCGAGTTAATTGTATTTAATATTTTAATAATTATGTAATATTATTAATACGTTACGTGACAAATACCAATTTATATAATTCAGTAGTTATTTTTATGATTAATGATTTCATAAAAAATGTTGAGACTTGCCTTAAATACTTTCAGTAAAATAGTAAGTGACTATTGTAATGTACACCACAGTTTCGTATTATATTTAATAGTTTAGGTAAATTATTTTTTTGGTAACAATAAGTAAAAATATGCGACAAAAAATAACGATATAAATCAAAAAACATTACGATTTAGATGATTTATATAGGTGGGTAATTAAAAAAAATAAATTTCCAACTTACAAACATATGAACATTATTTATTTTATTAGATAAAAATAATATTTTCGTTTATACTTAGGTTTTTTTACATAATCAAATTTATCACCTACTTAATTTTAAAAATGTAATTTTCCAAAGTATAAAGTACAAAGTTATACAAATTTTAGTTGGTTAATTAAATATGATTAAAAATTAATTTAATTATTATATATTATTTGCAGAATATTCGAATAATATAATTTTATATGATTTTTAGCTAAGCGACCTCCGGTTGAAGAAACAGCAAGTTTTTTACAGTCACTTTTAGCTAGTCATGGACCAAACTACTTGGAAAAATTATTTGGCAGCAAAGCCAGGGACGCTTTGGAACCATTAGGAGGCGTCGAAAAAGTTGCAATCACTCTTTCTGGTACGTAAAAATGTAATTTTAAGTCAGTTACAGTTCAATTCAACAAAGGGTCAATTTATTAATCTAAATATTAAAAATTATGAGTGAATACAAATGTATATTATATTTTATATTTATGACTAGCGAGGGAAATGTTTTTAGAGCTAAGATACTGTGATGATTTATATAACATTGTATGTTCAGTACTATTATTTTAGAAATTTACATTTCTAAAAATCATCATATGATTCACTCAGATTTTTAACATAAATATGTTCTTGGATTGGGGTACAGACTTTTTGAATTTCTGACTCCAACTGATTTTATTGCGTAACGTTTTCGTTGTTATGGTTACTTATTTAACAAAAACATATTTATGGTTCATAGATTTTCCTTGTAGAAGAAAATATCGAGTAGCGTGCTATGTTTTTTTTTTTGTAACACGGACGACCATCACGCTTTTATTTTCAGATCTATATTTATTTTTATTAAAATCTGATTAGTGTTAATTGAATACTTGGTATTACTTACGAAATAATTCCATTCACAATGTCTATACTAAGCTGATTAAATAAAAACAGGAACAAATAGTATAAAAAAAAAAAATTGTAATAATTTAATTTTTTATTTCAGCATAATTCAATAACATTATAATACAATTATACACTATATAATACGTTACTATATAACGTACGTTTCTATGTTTACCAACTGAGCTTAACTTATATCTAGTATATAGAGTTCCTGGTTAAGTATAATTAATTTATAGAAAAATTGTTTTTATAACTGAAAACTGTGACATCTTCAATTTGTTTGTCTAATTCAAAAACGTATATCTAAATACTTACTTGCCAGCACTAATAATGATTACCTATAGTTGATGCTTCACCGAATCAAAACCAGTAAAAATAATACTTTATTATCATTACTTAAAAATAATATTGAACTTATTCATAGCGTTAAAAGCATTAGCACACAGGTACAAATAGGTACTTAACCTAAACTGATACCGGGCACTTGTATCTCTTCGCTTATGTTGACATAAGCCAGTGTCATACGTATGTTATTATAATATTATATTTGACGACAATGATAAACCATTGAAAGTTTATAAGGTCATGAAAAAAAGTCAGAGATGTATTTTCTGAATTTTGAATTACAAATTGCGTAAAAAGTTTTTTTGCACCGTCCGTCTGCAATCGATCCAGGCAGTCATGTAAGGTCGCGGCTCCGGGTAAAGTTGTTCACATTTTTATATGAAATATTTATGGGAAATTTTTTATAGAATAATCTATTATACCACCTGCGTTCAATTTTTTATAAGTATAGGGGTGCAGTCAATAGCACTTTTGCTACCTGGAAAAGTTTTGGCCAATATTAAAAACCCTTAGTAACAATGCTCACTCTGTCGCTCTACAGTACAAGGTTATGAAGATTACAATATGATCGACCGAAGTATAAAAATCAAAACGATTTGTCGGGTCACGGTTTTTGAATTGTAGAATAGCTCAACAAATTGCAATCACATCTATATCGACAATAAATTGAACACATATGGTTAGGTACTCTATATACAAGGAATATGTATATAGAAATAACACTTTATTCTGGTTAAACTAGTGATTTGAACTTCTGAGTAGGTTTTGGAAAACTCACAACCGTGAATAAATGTAACCAATAACGTTGTTTTTACTTATTTATTTTCACTGTTTTGAATAAATCAAATTTTGTTCGGAATCGTCTTTCGGATGTAATGTTTGTATACCGCTGCAGTAACGAATCCAGCCCATCTACTTTTTTTCATGACGATTTTGTCAATGTAAATGTGTAGATAGGTCCACATAAATTGTATACCTATTAAAATATGTTATCAATCTTTGGTAATGTTTTTGGAACAATTATTGTGTTAGGTATAAGGACAGAATATAATATTGATGTACCTACACCAGTAAATGGCAATAACCTACCCAGTAAATTATGTTCCAGTCCGAAATAATTAGCGAACACCTCCTCGTTAAAGTTTTATCATAAACGATGTCATCACCTAAATTTTGGCTTTGCAATTTGGGTGACCGCTTTAATTTAATATCCGTTTTTATTTTTCTTAATTTTATCCTTATAGTTAATAATACTTTAACGGTTTACGAAAATTTAAGGATGGGTCTATGTGCGCGTTCGTGCGGATTACGGAGTTCGCCTAACAGTAAAAGTGCATAACATAATATTATAATTGAATGCTACACTAATTGAAACTTTGAAGTAAAATGCAACCTTCCGGACCAAATATTATCAGCTCTCAACTTTCACCCAGATTCGATTAAAAGAATAATCAAATTAATTTGATAGTTAGTTTTATATTCCAATGGCGTACGAAGCCCCGGGTTATAACAAAAAAAGCCCAGTAAAGTAAGTTAGGGTATATACAAAAAAACATAAAGGCAAGGACAAAGAATATACAATAAATTATAACGTATCTACGAACTGGCACACGTGGGTAGGTTACCATTATATTTATTATTTATATTTTAAAAACAATTTAATGACTAAAATTTTAAATCAGGGACGTTTCTGATCAGATGTAGCACATATTTTTTTAATGGCCCATTTATTTGACCAAAGATAAAGTGTAACTAGTATTACTTTCAATATTTATTGAGATTAAAATGGAATTCATTGTTCATACTTAATGAACAACTAACATGTATACTGTATAGTTAACAATAATATTTGGTGCAGGTTCTGATAAGTAGCGAAAATCTATTAAAAAATTCATTTAAACAGCTTGATGACTTAGGATAGTCGTTTTTTGGTCTACAATAGTCATGACAAAGTCAAAGATGCTTCTTGAGGGTAATAAGGTATGGTAAAACAAGGTAATAAAGAAAGTCACCGAAAGATTAAAAGACAAAATATGAGCATTAAAAATAAATATTTGAATACGTGATAAAAGTGCAATAAATTTATTAAAATATTTTAGAACATTATGTTGGCTAACACTATGCAGGAATTGACATATATATAGGTAACTTATTATTCAATAACCCATTATTTATAGTTACTTACATACTTTTCATAAGATTATTATAAATCATGACTAGGGCTTGAACATTTTTATCACACATTTTATTTATATATATAGGTACATTAATTATTGTCGTTATTTTTCGTTATACTTAAATCGTCAGTTTAAAATAAATAAAACTTGTTAAATCGCTCGATAGCCAATTAAATGATATGGCAACGTTGTACGTACATTTGATCTCAATCGTATTAAATTTATTATGGGTAGGTAAAGGTGAATTATTTGTGAATTTTAAGTGTTCTCAATCGTTTGGCCAAAAAAGTTTAATGTCCTTAATCGTTCGATAAGCGATTTACCTTTATAGCCGTAGACTCCTGGCTATACTCCAGATGATATGCATAATAATTAATAATATAATTGTATAGATAATGCGTTTTTATTATTTATCATTTGTACAAGTATATACTGTTCCTACAATAGTAACTAATTTATCACGGATTGACCGCATTGTTCTTTTATATCGAAATAAAAATATAATACTCGAACAGAACGGTAATATTAGTTAATTCTTCTACAAATGTGTAACTCGTATATTATTGTGCTTACAGAATCACAAACAATCGAGGACTTCGGTGCTGCTCTCCATCTAATGAGATCTGACTTGGAGCATTTGCGTTCGGTGTTCATCGCCGTCGAGAATGGCGACATCGGCATGTTAAAGAGCCTGGGCATTAAAGACTCCGAACTAGGCGATGTGAAGTTTTTCCTCGAAAAGCTAGTCAACACCGGCTTTCTAGATTAATTTACTAAAAAAATATCGGATTTGTATACAATTATAATATCCTCTGTAATTTTCTATTCCTATTTATAATATACCAACCTACATACAAATATCCATCCAAGATTTCAAACAAACAAAAAAAAAACAATTATTATTTCGTCCACTCCCTTCGTCACGAATTCCATGGTATTCCAGACATAACTTCCCTAATTATTTTCGGTCAATTAAAACGAACTAAATAATAAACCATTATACTATTTTAATCGTATACATTCGGTTTTGAATCACACAATACATATCAAAAATAAAGCTAACACTATACATATCATATCATGTACAACTTTAAACATATCTTTTTAATATCAAACGTTTATTATTATTATTATTATTATTATTACTATTAATATTATCTAGTTATACAAAATGTATTACATTAAAAATATATCATTATAAATATGTGTTGAATATATCATTTGTCTTTACAACGCGTGCCTAATGAGCCATTATAATACGTCATGTTTGTTTTCTTATTTAACAACGCAGTTTTATACCCGGTTCTGCTTGTTTATTATCGCGCATTATTAAGGCGTACGACTTTTTCATAATAATGTTATTATTATTATTATTATTATTACATTTTGATCTTGACTTATTCCAAGTAACTTTTTACGGCCCGACTCCGAGATGATTCAATTAATATACGGACAAACATAATACATATTTCATAATACCTGTCCATCGTAAATACGTGATGTAGGTATAAGTCATAATAACCGACATGCCGAGTATTTTCCTGCGGTGCCTAATGCGCCTCTTACGACGTTCAAGTTGTTTATATATTATACTATATAGGTACCAGTGTTTTCTTTAAAACTTTGTTACTATTATAACGTTTTTAATAATATTCATTCTTACACATCGTTTAATGTACACGCGTCGTCTTCGTAGTAGTAATAATATTACATTTTGATACTCCCGTTTCATGATGTTACAACACTATTAATGAGCGATATTATATAATAATTCACAGGGTGTTTCAGCAGTTGAAATTCAGCTATGCACCTATGATGCAATAAAAAGTGTGCATTTTACGCATAGACGTTGAGATCATTACATTGTACGCCTTCGACGAGAAATTCGTCACTCGGTATCGCCGAAAAGTAGAGAGAGAGAAAAACAGCATGGATACAATTTCGAAAGCAGACAAGTATACCACCTACCTAGTATATTAAATTTTCAACGACGACCTGCGATATTTTTTCTTCTCTAAATATGTTTTTGACACTTGATTTGCTAAGTTTAATCTGAAGATTATTAATGGAATCCATCAGATAAAAAAACAGCAATTGATTTTCACACTTACAAATACGAAATATCATACCCTCTGAAACACTCTGTAAACGATTCCCATGTACGATGTACCACCGCATGTGGTACGCCATGTGTGTGCTTATAGATAGGTATACTTATATATATCATCTATAGTCTATAGTTGCTATTAATTCATTAATACATTAACTGCTCGTCTACTCAGCTATAATATAACGACACTACTTTTTCGAATGTAATTTCTTTTTGTAATGCTCATTTGGCACATCGTTTTCAGTAGAACACCAAAAAAAAAAAAAAAAACCATAGTGTAATAAATTATTTATAATCGTGATGAACTCGATACATTCGCCATCGAAATGTAATAATTATAGGATAATTATTGAGTGAGGTAAAAAGTGTATATTTTCATGTATAAAACAACGATAACGACCATAAACTGACACGACACACATATCATTTGAATACAGTATATTTTTTACCGACTCAATAAAAATCATAATTATTTATTTTTCTTCTTCTTTTTTTCTATATACGATTTATACTATTTATTCTATATAATAGATCTTTATATTATAACTTTTGTTTATATCCGATACAAAACGGTATTTATAAAATATAATTACCGTATAAGGAATCAATTATATTATTATATAATCCATTAAAAATTAAATTATTATGTACATTGTGTTATTATTTTTTAATTGGTAGTACTTAATGTTGTATTCTTTTATTTTTCAGGAAATGCACGTTATGTTCATTTTATTATGCTACAGATAGTTTATTTTTTAAACAAAAGAGTATAATATAGAATCATAAATATTTGAATTAGGTACTGACATAAAAGTCGAGAGTAATATGTTTCCGAATAATATCATCATTAAAGCAATAATTAAAACTTGTAAAATTACATTACCATCCGATTGAAACGAAACACGAAAATAAATATTATTACTTAGGCATGTTTATTTTGATTGGACTTCTATCTGATAATTTTATGAACATTACATAAAAATATAAAATGATGTTAACATTATTTTGTATTTTGAGCAAAGCATTATATATATTGTCCTATGTCCTGTATCGTGTAGGTTTTACAAAAATTTAATTTTTTTTGTCTGACGTCACTTTTATAGGAATATTAAAAGAGCTTCGTGAGTGGTTTCTGGTAGTTTTGAATCTAGTTGGGACTTAAGGAAGTCAGAAGTAAAAATTCCAAGTAGGTATTTTCCAAAATAATTAAGAACAACTTTTTAAAAAATACCTTCTTTTGATAACATTGATTTTGTTTTAGTTAAAAAACGAACGAATAACCATAGAGACTTGACATTTTTACCAAATATTTATAGAACCTACAGATTTTCTGGACATGATAGAATTTAAAAAAAATATTCATTCAACTAGCATTTTATAGTTCCTAATTAAAGAACATTTTTCGTTCCTCAAAATTGTTGAAATTGTATTGAAATAATTTTTAGAAATAAATTGGTTGATTGGGTAATTTTTTTTGAATGTTTTATTTGTTTATTTCATACAAGTTAAGAACGATAAGACTTCTGTGGCTGACTTGACATTTTGTGAACATTATCTATATTGTCGTATGTAGGTTTAATTATATAGGCAATATACTGACTAAATTTCTAAAAACTTTTTTAATTCCCTATACTTATGAAAAAAGGAACAAATAAAATCATTCAGATTCCTATAAGAGATGAACGAATTTCTAATATGTTACTTTACATGAAAAAGAAATAACCTTCCCGTTAGATACTTGAAATTTGTACTTGAAATTTGAACGAAATCATTGAAACGGATTTCTTGAACTCGTTCCTTCCAAGCGCTAGGTACACTCGTATGCCACCATCGACTTCATAATATACTCTTACCTGCATCCGTGTAACAATTAAAAGCAATTACCTAATATAATTATGAAGGGTTATTGTTATTACTTAATAGTGGAACAACTTAGTTGTAATGCCCTCACAGTAGTACTAACAACGTTTGAATACCTACTTTTATTATTTATTTCAATCCAGTCTTTTAGTCTATAAATTCTTCGACTGTTGACAATTTTATGGCTGAAGACAGTAATTGATCTAATATTCTAATTTAAATTTATATTAATTTAGAGACTGGTCATAAATTAAATGATTTTTTGGGTATACATTTTATAACTTATTATTTATTTCTTATAACTAATTGTGTTTTTAATTTTCTTGCATAATATTCGTTATCTCCTTTAAATCACTGTAAAATGAACTTTCTAATATCTATCATAGCGTAACTGAAGATTTTTCGGTATACAAATTTTAAATGTTTTTAAGTTATTGCATAGCTTTTATTGCGGCCTGGCATGGTGACTGAAAAAATATTTTTGGTAACGAAAAAATTGTGTCCGTAAGTCGTAGGATCTTATTGTTATTATTTTTATCTGCGGTCAAAGGTCTTAAAAAGTGTAAGTTGGATTAATATCATACAAAAATACATGATACATATTAGCTAAAAAATTGCTAGTTATAGTATAACCTTTACCGTGGCAGTCCCCGAGAGCCTCAGACTTTATAAAAATAATAAGATGAGACTTAAAACAGTCCTAGTGCGGTGATCTCAATAGTACACCGGCTTTAAATAAAGTGCTCATATTTATTAATCGTTCGTCTTGGTGTCTGTATCAAGTAAAAAAACATTATTTGAATGAATAATGCAAATAAATCATTATAGGCACATTATAAATTGTCAATAAATTAGAAATCCATATTTCATCTTAAAATAAAATTGTGTGCTGAAGCAATATTGTGAAATACAAAAGTAATTACTATCACAGTATCACACCAATATACTGCATATGTATTAATGTATAATATGTGTATATACAGTTAAAATTAAAAAAAGTAGTATTATATTGTATCCAAGTTCCTACCTACTGTGTTTTATTTATAAGTAATTATAACACATTATGCATAGTGAATTGTGACATTATAAGCCGCTTGTGTTCAACAACTCAATTTACATATTAATAGCAGTTTTATAATATAAAATCTACATAATAGGTAGATAAGTAGTGTGTAGTCAACAATAGTGTATGGCTTGCGAAAACTACAACTAAGACGTAATGGACTTAATAATTCCAAAAAGTGTCAAAAATGACTTCAAAAGACCAAAAATTCAAAATAAATCTTATCACGATTATGAGGTTATCAATTATAATTACCATGATATAAAAAAAATGGTATCAAATACTATACTCTACTTAAACTTTATATAATATGGAATATAGCGTATTTGATGGTATGAATGTATGATCGGAAGTTCGGATCTTTTTGACTTTTCTAACCTTCAGATCCATGAATTAAGATATAAATCCTAATTAATTCTTAACTATTAATGGTCAGATCCTTTGGTAGGCACTTAAAGTAGCTTAAGCAACAAGTGTAGCAGTAATTTAAAGACAATATAATAATATAGGTAAGCAAATGACGTATTTCACAAACTTGAACCAAATCTGGACTTTCGATCACACCATGTTCCTAATATCATGACAATTACCACAGATATACAAAAATACAATATATAACATCAGATACTATACTATTTTTAATTTTTATGTCATACCTGTGACACAATATTATATATCTTAGTCAGTGGTCTATGGTAATTACAGACCTGGCTATTGATACAAATGTGTATGATAAGTTGCCTATACAAGTACAAAGTTCCTTTATTCAATTATATCAAATCCACACCACGTAGATGGCGTTATATATTACAAAATATGCATTATTGTACTATTAGTGAATTACTTAGGTAAAATAAATCATAATATTTTTATTTTTTTTTTGTGTTCACGGCCTCTAGGACCATCCCGTCATACATCCGTCATCATATAATAATAATTATAAATTATAACAATTCAAAGTTATAACGATAATATTTTTCTTAATAAATTAATCAACGGGGAAAATAAAATTAACAATGATATAATTGTGCATGGATACTGCGGAATAATTGTAAATGAAAAAACGAACGTACTTGCCGAAGAAAAAGCAAGCTACCGAAATTGAAGCAAAATTAAAAATGCATAGGTACTATACTTATATAAAAACATTAAAACAGCTATCAACAACCGGTTAAAAAATAAATGGCAAATTAATGGTTAAACATGAACAGTAAGTTTAATGAAATTAAATTTTAAAAAGAAAAACAGAATAATAGAACAAACCGGAGACACTCAACCGAAAAAATGAAGTTCAGAAGTCGTAATATTGTATTAAACCGCTTTAAAATTGTTAATACGCATTAAAGTAGGTATTACACACTTACCCATGGTCCATCTTATAAAAAAAAGCCATCAAGAATATTGATATATTTTTTTTTAAATAAACTTATATTTTGACTACATTTCAGATAGTCCTAAAATGAAAAAAAATATACTTCCGAGCAAACCTAGTAAAAAGAAGTACAAATCAGATATAGTTTTCAAAATTAAAATCGAGCAACTGGAAGGAGATTTATTTTCTTTTGCTTATTGGTATAAATGCATGGGAAATATAGGCTGCTATAGCCCCCTTGCTATCTGCGGTTATCATAAACGTAGAGGGTGGTTGTAAACTCTTCCGATGGTTAAGTTTCCCGGGTTAATATTATGTTAACCTGAAGGAAATACGTAGAGTTTATAATCGCCCTGCGTAGAATGGGACTAAGAAAGTTATAGCCCCCACAGAATTCTGTAGGCCCCCTCAGAATTATTAAGAAGTTTCAGAAGTGTCGTCGATACCACAAGGGAAAAAGGCTATAGCATCCTTTTATAATGTCTTCACTCTACGCCTATGGATGGTGGTTATCCAGTAAACATTCATCAACCATCAAACATATATTTGAAGAATGCAGACGCAAAATATGACGTACCTTTTAACATCTTAAAAATTCCCTGACCCTGAAATGTATCATAACAAAAGTGTTACTCACTAAACATAGTATAAACCTATACAAGTTAGTTTAAGTTTCAATAATACAAAAAAAAATGTATAATTTACAAAAATACAAGCCAATGGTCCAGGCTTTAACACTATAATAATAAAAATACCAATAATACAATAAATAATATATATTATTCTATGCTATTATAATATAATTTATTAGGTGTTTTAAATAGTGCGTACCTATTGTGTAATACAAAATATATGAAAAAATATAAGCTATAGGTATTATAATAAATAATATACCTATCTAAATAAATAATGGTCGATCAACAGATACTTAAACATTTTTAATGGAAGTAGCTCACTTATTGTAAAAGATTGGCGAACTCTGTGTTGTACAATCAAATGCTAAACTTAGGGCCTACTAGTTACTACTACGGTTATAAATTTATAAATTATAATATTATAAAGTACAATTTATTTTACGGTTTCCCATAGTACCTACAGATAACAATAAAAGCAGGAAAATAAATTTTGGCTCAAAATTAAATGACCAGACATGATGCAAAAGGCAGTGGCGAGCTGTCAGCTGTTTAAAGTAATTATTAATTGGAAAGCAGCTATAAATCATTGCGGCGATCACAAAACGTGTTTAAGCAAAGTTAAACCCACATCTGTTGCGATTTCTTTGACGTTTATCGCAGTTGTTTTTCCTTATTCTTATGCTAGCTCCACACTCTCGCCGAGGCGAAGCGAGGCAGCGCGAGCACGAGAGTGTAGTCGGTTCACTCGTGTCGTCTTGTCTCGCCTCGCCTCGCCTCGTACGCGCTCCGTTCGGTGTCGGTATTTTGGTCACGAGTCAAAGGACACGCGGCACGAGGCGAGCTCGCGAGAGTGTGGAGGAAGCATTAGAGAAACTAGTAAACTACATACGAAATCGAAAACTTATATCTTTAAAATAACATCTAGATAATATTTTTCATCGACGGATTTTATAGTATAGAAATAACGGTAGGTATTCCTACATGAAACATTTAGTCATATTTTAGTATATTATTACTTAAACAAAAGAAATATCGTTGTAAATCGTAGGTTATCAGGTAATTAGATAAACCAATATAACGATAGTTGCATTCCTCGCAATTGGCTTGTAGTATTCTAAAAGTTATAGGATATCAATTTATTTCCATTATATAATTTATGTAAGATAGTTTTTACTAGGATTTTTGTGGTTGGAAGCTCCAATTAACAAAACTGAAAATATTGCTTAGCCTTAAAAGTATTATTTTTTGTACAAACATTTACATTTTATTATAAACACATATTTTCGTTAACCGGAAAATAAGTATTACACTCTAAAAATATAAGCATATTATTTTGAAAAGTTAAATTTTTATCACGAATCTATTTACTCATTAGGTAAACGATAAACGTCGGGGAAAACTATAGAACTGACAAATCGTATTATTATTTCTAATATCAACATAAAAACCCAAGTAATAACAATTAAACATTCAATAAATAATGAGCAAATATTTATTTTCTAATATGACAAAAAATACCATAATACTATCAATATTATATAGATTTTATAAAATCGTATAATATGCTTTAACTCTACGGTCAGGTTATTAGATGAAATATCTAGCAAAGCTAAAATTTCATACTTCTTTTTTTCATTTTTTCTACCAAAAATACATCAGAATATATTTTATTGTATCTTTAGATATGATGCTTCTAAAATTAGTAGACACCAGCTGAACAGTTTTGACTTATTTTGCCACCCCTTCCCTTAACACAGTGCAGCTCTGTGTGAGCGTCACACTGTAACGTCTGCTTCTATGAGTACAATATAATGACTACGGCCGGCGCGGGAATTCGGATATTTAAACTCGTAATGAGAAGGTAAACCGTAGTCCGTCAGACAGACGGGCGCCGTGACAAGGCCACCACGACCGCGGGCCGCAGACGCGCGCGCCCGTCCCCGTGCTCGGGCGCATTGTCAACCCGATAGCGTCATGGAAACAGCCGCGCCCGAGCTGCATTTCTTCCATGAACTCAGCAGAAACGCACCCCCAATCGAACCGCAAACATGGCCGAAACTTTCACTAGGTCCAAATGTTCGCTCGCGGAATTTCGTAGACACAAATCGGAAGGTAAATAGTCGTGTTTCCGCAATACGCTCAGATTCGTTTTGTCGTCAGTCGGTGCCTCAGAGTCAGTTCGCCATGCCCGCAATAGCGTCTCGGAGTAGCCCGTTGAACTTGTCAGGCGCCGCCGCCCCGTCGTCATGCCTGTGTCGATCGCCCGCGTAAATTCCTGAAAACAGATATCGCGCGGGCGTCCCCACCGCCGACGATTCACCGAACGTCCGTTTTGAGTTTAAAATAAATTCCTCTCACCCACGTAAGTAAACACGTTTTGTAGATAAGAGAAGACGTATGAAGAAAAAGTCGAGTTTCAAGAAACGAAAGGACTCGTTTTTGCCTCCGCAGTGCCGAGTCTCATTTTTTGCAGTTATGATAAGGCCGCTTTAATCTTTTCTCGTGTGTCAATTCCGTACTATCTTTCCGTGCTCGTGTGGTAGGGAGGGGGACGCCCCGAACGTTGCACGTCGTGGGATCATCTATACATATAACACATTACACATATGATATTTATATATATATATATATATATGGTTTTCTCTGCACGTCTCGGCACGCCGCCGTTGACTTGCACTCGTACAATCGTATCACACAACAACGCCCATCGCAGAAATAGATGGAATACGAAATTACAAAAAACTAGCACCACGGGAACACTACGGTCATTTTCACCGTTGATATTAATACTTTTTCCACGCCATGCTCTCTCGGGCCGACCGTGATAAAGCAGTTTCGATTGATAAAACATAACGTCACGATTTCTCGAGCTCCGAAAATCGATCGCGCTCGCTTCGAACAGAACGCCGATCCCTGATGAAACGGTGTGTGATTCTCCGATGTTTTTTAGCCCGAAACGTCGGTTCCGCGTTGTTTTCGCCATAGTTTGGCCCGATATCGGTAGTTGAAGTAAACCGATTGTAGAAATACTCATTGATATTGTGTCGTTCCGCACCCACAAATACTACCCTGTCTAGTGTGTCGGTCCGCCATCGATGCTCTTGACGTCGTGATTGCTTTTCGTTTCAGAATAACGGAGATTCGATGAAATGGCTTTCAGTGTATATTGTTGATAGTTGATATAACGTGGCTGTGAATTAAAATATCGTCAAAATGTGGAACATGATGTGCGATGTCATGCCGACCATCACTGAAGACAACATTGGTGGTCAGCGGCATCAGTTTTCCGGCGAAGACGTTCGCATCAACGAGTTTATGGACACTGTTGTCGAGGAACGCAACAAGCTTTTGGATACATTGAGCAAGAGTCAAATCAGGCTTGATGAGACTGAAAAACAACTGGCCGAAGTAGAAAGTGAAAGAAATGCTCTTCAAAGACAAATTGATGCCACATTTCCAAAGGTAAGATTCAATTTTACTTATTTTGGTTTAATATATCAATATTCACCCTTCTACCTTATGAGTTATATTTAAACCTGGGTGTGTTAATTTGTGAGTATAAGTTTATAATAATAGTAATACCTATAATAGTTTGTGACACCTAGTAAATTTAATCAGATTTATATTATTCTAATATCTATTGTTATGATGAGTAGTGTCACTAACATTTTACCTATAGAGTATAGGTTATCTATAACTTAAGACTCAAGAACCATAATACAGAAATTGCAAAGTTAGGTATGGTTTTAGAGGATTTTAAGAAATTATTCGATGAATTATACCTAGTACTTTTTCTGATAATGTAGTAATAAGTAGTAAGTATACCCAGTATGTATTAACAAACATTTTTAAATCTTTTATTTTACACTTGGTTCAATTAATGAATTACTTCCTTATCAAAATATAATATTCAATTATATTTATAATTATTTATGTTGATAGATACTCTTTATGTCTATACACTATACTGTACTACTCTGTACTCTATTTAGGTTGAGAGTAGACTGATAGGCTTATATAACAGTTTGTGTCAGCCCACCCATTGAGAGCACCTAATACAAAAATTAGTGTAGGCTAGCCACGGTACAACAGTATTGAAAGATTGTCACCGACATTTGACAGAGCATCTAGACAACGGCCTTAGAACAATCTTCAGGGACACAGTTTGCATACATAAAAGTGGTTCATTCTTAACCTGTATAGAACACATATAGTAATCTAATACTGAGCCTAATTTAGATAAGTTTTGATAACCTATCTTGGGAAAGGTACAGATGGGTATAACAAATAAAAATGTTATTTATCAAAACTTACTCATGTATTGTATTTCACCTCTCATGAACCTACCAAGTTCAATTAAAATTTCTAGTGAATATTTTAGTTCGTAAGAATACTTGTTAATGTATTCAATATTTTAATCATAGGTACCTACTACCTAGTATCTACCTATTTATTAAATTAAGTGTTGTAAACTCCACTAATAGTAAACAAAATTTATCATCAACTAGTATATACATTCAATGATTCAAATAATTTTAAACTCAAAAATTGTGAAAGCAATCGTTCTAATCTCAATTTGTTATTAAATCAATGAAAATATTTTAGGTACATCAACAAAAAGTTATCAAATATTAGACTGATATGAGATGCTGCCATTCTTACACTCTTATATATCATTACATTGCAGTATAATATGTTATGTATTTTAATATTATAGTATGGTTGCATGAAATTTCTTATCCACAATAATTATTTATTTGCTCCTATTTATTCATGGTTAGCATAATCTTGTTAGTGGTTTGTGATGTATTTCTTAAATTACCAGTGTTATCTGTATTCAGTGGTATACCTAGTATTATGTTTGTAGTAAGAGTTAAATTAATCCCGAATTAATCCCTTTCATATTTAAAATAATATAGTCCCTGACTATGATGTTTGTCTGTATACCTTATACCTATGTCCCGCTATGTCCCTTTCATTTTGGTAATAATATGGTAAGGCCGCCGCATTTGGATTTACCTGAGTCCGTGACAAATAGAAAATCTATATAATACATAATTTAGCAGCCTATCAGCTTAACCAAAATATTAAGAATAATTTGTATTTTGTTAACCAAGGTGTTAACTTAACAATTTAAATTACTTGGATATACACAATTTTCAATATCATGATAAAATATATAATACTTTTAATTTGTTTTTAATAAACTTAAAGTGGGAGCATGTACATAGGTACATAGGTCTATATATTTATAAATTGTGTATTAAATGTTTGATATGTATCTTAATAATTGTATGTAGATACCAAGGTAGATGCTTAATTGCATTTTGATAAAACTGTTTTTCTAGGTACAAATTAAAAGTGCAATTGTTAGATAAGCATATCTATGGAATTTAAAGTTAAGTTGAACATTTAATTAAAAGTTTAAGTTATTGTCTTAAGTACCTATTTGTTGTTTCAATCAAAATATTGACCAGAGTAATACTGATTTTAGTATTTTACAATGATAGGTGCTTTTATTATTATTTTTTTAAACTTATCTATACATTTATTTATTGAAATCAACGATCATCATGTTTATAGTTATAATTACACACAAATTATGTTTCAGAAAAATTATTATTAAAAATGTAAGCAAGACCATTCATATTATTGTTGATATTATTTGTAAGGGGTTCATTAGAACCGTTTATCTCATATAATAATTATTTTGAATTAAAAATGATAATTTATCACTATCTTGCACACTTGCTCTTCAGTGAGTAAAGCGAGTGTCCGAAACCATATCTCTGTATCCAGTCTTAATTGCTATCTATTAACACTTACTTTAGTGTAATGTATTATGTTGGTCTAACGTTAATCATTTGAATAATGATCATTTTTATAAACTTTCAAAGAATTGGTATTTCAAAACTCAAAATCCGTTTTATAAGTATTATTTAGGTATTTTAAGTTTTTTATACAGTAAATTTAGTTTATTTCATGCAACGGCATTGTTAATTTTAGATAGGTAAATCCTCAGGTAAGTTTTGGATTCTTATCAAACATAATATTAGGTAGGTACTAACTCTGTGTAGTACTATTTAATGCATATCAAAATATTTTTAGCTAATAAGAAACAAGTTCTAAGTTTTAAATTCATTTAAAACTCACAAAATTTAACTTTTAATCATTGCTTTTTATACTTTATTTATGGTGCTTATTTCTTTATTTTTTGCAATTTGTATCTACTAATATTTCAAAAATACCTACTTCTACCTAATGAACTGCATACATTCATAGTTGAATATTTTTTTTTATACTCTTTTATTCATTTTTACTCAACCCTTGAATTAGAATTATATTTACCGTATTCCGGATAATATAGCATTATGTACAATTAATTTTTTTTAAAAGCCCATTTTTATAGTTTTTATAATAATATTATCTGTTCTTTTTTTCGTGGGAAAAAAATCGGAATTTAAATAAGATAGGTACATCTGATAATTATAATAGCTTTTACCTATATCAACGCAACTTTCGTTACATAAATATTACAAATTTTACAGTATTTTCAAAATTTTTCTAAAATTACAATATTCTAAAATAAATCGTTTTTTTTTTTTTTATTAATAAAAAAGTTTTTTAAAATGTCTTATAGAAGTTTAATTAGGTTAGCACTCATGGTATATTATTTCTTTGTTGTCTTGAAAATTCTAGTGCATCATCCATTGCCCTTTTTCCACTCCATTGTATAACGCACCCTTATTGGATCGATAGGCCTGGTAGTTGACCTGGTGCCCTACTTCTGGCTTATTCAACACTCCTTTTACTTCATTTTTAGGGTTTTCGCGTTTAAATGATTGGGGGTTTTTCCATTGCTATTCATTATCAAACTAGAAACTATCGTATTATTGACTATATTATATCGATATTGGAATTTTGATTTCTTAAAAGATTTAAACTTCTTTTTCAATTCATTAAACCTTAATAATGTTAAAATATGTTCATTTTATTTATTATTTACCTATTTATTCAATATATCATATTTTAATGGATAATTATTTTCAAAATGAAACATTAATTTTGTAAAAAATAATTGCTATATACGTACATTACTAATTCAATTATAGTAGTTACTAGTTATATACTAAATAACTTAAAAGGATGTTCGAAAAAAAATTTGCTCACTCAAATCCACGAACAACAAAAATAAAACGCAGTCACGTAAAATCGTTTTTCTTAGTAATTTAAAAGTAAATTTGGATCATTTATTTCAAAAATTACAGTGGGTAATATTTTTGAGTGTTTAACATATCGATTTTCTACAGTTATAAATTGTTTTATTGATTGACTCTGTCTTCGACTTAAAATTAAAAAAAAATTTGTAAATTTAAATGTACCTTTATGAAATAATTTGTAGATAAATTGACTCGTTCATACCCTCAATAATATTATTGTCTAAAATTTTTGCGATGAAAGATTTTTCTCCAATATTATTCAAACATGAAAAAAATGAGAAAATTATGTGTTATTCGTGAGGGCCAGAGAGAAAAAATAAAAAGTGTGGTAGTGAACCTACCGTGACTATTTAAGATTTAAAGTTTTTTAGACAAATAGATACCCAGGTACTAAAGAAAATACAGCTAAAATACTTTAGATCCATTTGTTATAAAGGCTCAACGTATTTAAGCATCTACTATATTATTCTATATTGTAATAATTGCTTGTACATTTTAAAAATCCGCCCGCTCTTATGGTGTGCTAAAAATTATAATTACTAATTAGTACTAAGAGGACGCTACACTCGCATGTGTTATCTCCTTCTTACAAATGTATAACAGTAAAAACCGAGACAAAAACTGTTTTGCGTGGGATAGAACCACTCAGGCTGTAGTTTAGATTTAAAAATGTTATACAATTTAATTTATTTGTGTAATATCATTTTTATTTTTTTGATATTTCTTATTATATACCAAAAAAGGTCTTATGGTTTCAAAATCCATTATTTCGTGTTTTTCAAACTTGTTCAGCTGTTTTTGTAGTTCCGATATAAAAAAAAAACTATATTTCACATCCAAAGCTCTCCTTTTTACTTGTTGAAAATTTCGTTTCTTAGTTATGACTGAAGCTTTCTTGGTTCTTTTCCGTACAAAACAGTTATTGCCTTATTGGTATGTTTTACACTTTTAAGACTGAGACAACATATTCGGGTGTACTGGTGTAGCGTTCTCTCAACTAAATAAACCTTTCCATCATAATATAAAACATTTTTGCTCTTAAATATATTTACACTCAATTGTTTTCAACAGAGTAATAAGTGTATTGGATGTACAATGGTATTGTGTTTTATATAAACATCATGTCATCACGTTTTGGAAAAGTAAAAATCGCATCAACTTTGAGGGTAGTTTTTAGTAATATTAATTTGATTTAGTTGGAATTTCGGTGAGTCGGAAATAAAATTTTTTCTTGTTTACTCT